GTGCAAAAGCAGATGAAAGGTAAGGGCGCAGCAGGTGAAAAGGTGAAGGCGTGCAGCGAGAGAATAGGTGAGCGTGCAGGGAGAAGCAGGTGAAAGGTGAGCGTGCCAGCAGGTGAAAGGCTGAGGGTGCAGCAGGTGAAAGGTGGAAAGGGTGCAGCGCAGGATGAAACGTGAGCGTCGCAGCAGGTGAAAGTGCGGCGTGCATCAGGTGAAAGGTGAGCGTGAGCAGGTGAAAAGGTGAGAGTTGCAGCAGTGAAAGGTGAAGGTGGCAGCAGGTGAAAGTGAGCGTGCATGCAGCCGAAAGGGTGAGGGTGGCAGCAGGTGAGAAGGTGAGCGCTGCAGCAGGTGAAAGGTGAGGCGTCAGCAGAATGAAAGGTGAGGGTGGCAGCCAGTGGAAGAGGTGGATGGTGCACAGGTCTAAAGTAGCGTGCAGGCAGATGAAAGGTGAGCGTGCGGCATGGCAGCTGTAAATGTGAGGTGCAGCAGGTTGAAAGGTGAGCGTGCAGGCAAGGTGAAAGGTGAGGCAGTGCAGGCAGTGAATCAGGTGAGCGTGGCAGGGCAAGGTGAAAGGTCGAGCAGTGCAAGTCAGATGAAATGGTAGGGCGCAAGCAAGGTGAAAGGTGAGCGGTGGGCAGGCAGATGAAAAGGTGAGCGTTGCAGCAGTGAAAGGTGAGCGTGCAGAGCAGGTGAAAGGTAGGTGGCAGCAGGTGAAAAGGTGGAGCGGCAGCAGGTGAAAGGTGAGCGTGCAGCAACGGTGAAAGTGGAAGGTGCTCAAGGAGTGAAAAGGTGATGGTCAGCAAGGTGAATAGGTGAGGGTGGCAAGCAGATAAAAGTGAGGTGGGCAGCAGGTGAAAAGGATGGTGCAGCCAGGTGAAAGGTGAGGCGTGCAGCAGGTGAAAGGTGAAGGGTAGCTCTCCCACGCGCGCGTTACCTGCGTCGCGGTGAGTATCGCGGCCCGCTCTCCCACGCGCGCGTTACCTGCGTCGCGGTGAGTATCGCGGCCCGCTCTCCCACGCGCGCGTTACCTGCGTCGCGGTGAGTATCGCGGCCCGCTCTCCCACGCGCGCGTTACCTGCGTCGCGGTGAGTATCGCGGCCCGCTCTCCCACGCGCGCGTTACCTGCGTCGCGGTGAGTATCGCGGCCCGCTCTCCCACGCGCGCGTTACCTGCGTCGTGGTGAGTATCGCGGCCCGCTCTCCCACGCGCGCGTTACCTGCGTCGCGGTGAGTATCGCGGACCGCTCTCCCCCACACATGCGTTACCTGCGTCGCGGTGAGTATCGCGGCCCGATCTCTCCCACGTGCGTGCGTTACCTGAGTCGCGGTGAGTATCGCGGCCCGCTTCACTGTCGGCCCAACGCCCTTGTACAGGCCCTTCACGCCCTCGCGGCGCACGATGTCAGCGATGGCCTGCGAGAGCCCGTGGTAGCGGCGCACCTCGCCCGGCTTCTGACGACACGCCTGCATGCGAACCTTCACGAGGTCCATCGGAGACATGATCGAGCTGCCGATGGCACCTGTCGCAGCGAGCGTAGCGTGTTAGATGGGTGGCGCCCACTAGAGGCAAAATGCATTAGGTGGTGCACCCTCTAGGTGCAACATATTAGGTGGCACCCACTCGAGGCAAATTACGTACATTACGTGGCGCCCCATCGAGGTGTAATGCATTAGGTAGGGTATATTTCGTGATGCGTCCTCAGGGGAAAATCGTAAGGATAGTGCCTGTCGGCAATTATTGCTAAGAAGCGCCCTCTTGTGGTAGAGCGTGAGGCGGTGTCCCTCAAGATGATTTTGTTAGGCTATATATAGCGAGAGCAAGGGAGTATATCTCTACGCATTACTTCTAACTGTAGGTAAATAACACATACCAACTTAATTTTGCTTGCAATGAAAGTGTCAATGACACTTAGCTGTAGCTCACCACAACAAGTGCCGCGGAGCGGCAGCGCTCATCTAACGTCTACTGCGGT